ATTTTCCTTGATTTTGAGGAAAATATGATCACATGATTAAAATTAGAAAAGTATTTTTCATGGAAAAAAATGTCAGTTATACGACGCAAAAGTTAGAATTTGAATGAAAAAAACATATTTTTCATGAAAAAATGTTGATAATCAAACAAATTGTTTTTCAGTTTTATTATTGTTTGTACTATAGTTGACCTTCCAGCGAATCAAGCCATAGCTTTTAATGGCATCTCATCACATAATTTTGATCAACTAATCAGTAAAACTATCCAAAATGACGGTGCTCAACTGACATGGATTTGTTCTCAATTCGTTTAAAGCATCTTCAAGAGTTCATATTATAGAACATATTTAAATTTAAAAAGTCAATTAAAATTAATTTTTTTAATTTGTATTTCGCTATTACAGAAATTATTTTTAAATTCTTCTCTCACAAATAGAACTACTTTACTTAAGTCAAAAAATTAATTATCTTTTTTAAAAATAAATTTTAGATTAGTAGGTTAATGAAAAATGTATACTTAAAAAATAAGAAAAAAATTGGTGCGTAATATTATTTTATTGAAAATGCGAGAAAAAAATATATTTGGAAATAAAAGGGCGTATGAACAGCATATATATTAGAAGACCCCTATAAAAATCATATACATACAGATTCTTGTGTATATTTTCTCTGTGCTTGGGCCAAAATAATGAATAATCAAGGTAAAGAAGATTATGGCGATATTGGAAGCGAGGATTTTCCGGATGAGTTTCAGTGTTGTGTATGCTTGTAAGTATTTGCGATGGATTTTTTTTTTTTTTTTTTAATTCTATTTTTCAGCAAACAAGTTACGCATATGAAAGCCTGTATGAATGATTTTCTGTTGGTTGGTTTGTTATTAATTGGATTTTGCGAATATCTTATAATCAGAAGAAGCATACGGCAATAGGGTATATGTCTTTGTCTGTGGAATTGTAGATGCGTGAGCAAACACACGCCAAGAATTGGAATTGGCAGCATGTCAATTAGGGTTTGGGAACATTAATGAAATTTTCTGTCAAGCATTGATTCTTTTTTTTTTTTTCTTTCAGGGATATCATGTACAAACCGGTTGTATTAGGTAATACACTGTTACAAATACTACCGATTTCATAGCTATTTTTGTTGTCGAATCTATTCATTCCTTTCCCTGTATGCAGCCTGTGGTCACATATCTTGCTTCTGGTGTGTTTTCAAAGCTATGGATTCTTTCCGGGAGTCACACTGTCCAATTTGTCGCAACCCATATAATCATTTTCCCAGTATTTGTAGATTGCTACACTTCTTGCTTCTGAAATTATATCCATCAGCCTACAAAAGAAGGGAAAGACAAGTTGCAGGTATGCGAGCTGAAACACCTTAGTCCTACTATTTTATGAATTTACACATACCATGTATATCTATATGTTGGAGCACGGAAACACCGCCCGTTAGTCCTAATGTAGTAACTGCCTATATTGCCTCCACTATAAGCAGTTGCACCAGCTCAAAAGGTTGACAGGCTTGAAAATTTTCAGTAGAAGCAGGCGCTCCATTAGTTATCTTATCTAATAGATATATTGGTTCTTAATTTCCCGCCTTACTCTGAGGTAGAGACATCTCCCCTGCCAAAGAATGTAAGCAAAAAAATAGAAATTAACCTCCCTTTTCTTTTCTGATAGACCAATCGTTCCCTGAAAAAAATATTGATAAAAGAGTGGGAGGGGCTGTCAAGGTGTTGTAACAAATGGAAAATCCTGAATTGATATGATTTCTATTGTGTGTTGGCTTTTAGCAGCTCCCTTTTGACCATCTTTCTTCACATAAACTTCTAAAGGAGCCTTTTTTATTTCCTTATATTCAACTCTTCCTCAAATCAAACCTTTTTTTTTCATCTACTTGGAGGGGAATCACCATTGCCTTCGTATTATGTGAATCAACTCTCTATGTTTAATGATATGATCACTAACCTTTTGTTGGCTCTGATAATTTTATTCTGGGCAAGTATTACCTGTTTTATAATTAATGAAAAGGAAGGACCTGTTTTGTCTTTGTTTCTTTGCGCTTGATATGAAAGTAACTGAGGACATTTAGACTGAGTTGTCAGAGGAGAAGTGAGGTGAACCACGGAAGAGTTGATTTTATTGTAACTTAGATTTCTTTGGAAGGGGACAGACTATGAGAATCTCACCGCTGGAATATTTGGTTTCTATGATTTAACTGATGAGGCGTGGCTCTTGAGCATTCATTTTGAAAGTGCTATTTTTTGCTGCGGTAATAATAATTTAAGTATTGCACTTGGTCTCTGATCTAAAGTTTCATGGGGTGGGATGTTCATGAGACATTTGTCAACTCAATGCAGATAATCATGCTGGAAATGCTCCGTAACATATTCCTTTCTATATGACGAGGAGGAAAATCCAATTTATCACTGCAAAGGCGTGGCTATGCAAGCATGTGTTTGTTGACTTGGTGAAGTATTAGTGGACTGCCAATAATGTAACTTGGGTATTATTGGAATCTAAATTGATTCCTAAGTGGTCTACTACTAGAAAGCTACACTCTTATCTCAACCAAAATTTTCATTCCAAATGTCTAATATTTATTAGGTAGAGGCATTGTGATGCAGCACCAATAGAAATATTCAATGGAGAATGAGAAAACCAATTAACAGGAAGAAGAAATCTAGGGAAGAGATGGTAGAAGAAGAACCAATAGAAGAACCACTAGAAGAAAGATGGAGAGAAAAGGGAAATTTGCCACAAGCCACCAAAATAATGTTTCAATTTTCAGTTATCAACATATAAATAGCAAAAAAATCTAATATTTACGGGCTTGGGCCAGACCCATTAATCAAGTCCAATGAAATAAAATACATCAATATATAAAACACAGAGTAAAATAATTGGGCCGATGTCCGCATCAACTCTCACAGGGTGGGAGAAAAACTCAACTCTGTCAAGTGGTTGAACTACCGCGGTGGACAATCCTTCTGACGAACCAAATATCAGAACTCAACAAATGATAACAAAGCCATGTGCAAATTATCCCCAAGCATATGATCTGACCAAGATGATCTGGTTAAAGGATGATCTTACTGACTCCTATAAAATTCCAATGAATCTGGATCACGTTGTTGATGTCTCGTTCTGGGGATTCATGTACCATCAGAATCAATCAAGTCGGTCCACCCAATGGACAAGAAAGCACTAAATCTCTCTATCATTGGTCAACACAATTTGATCATCTAAAATAACATCAATTTTATCTTTGTGTGCTATGATTAGTGGTATTGGAGTAGACATAGTAAAAGATTTAGTGTAGGAATTTCCATGTAGAGGTAGAAAATAATTATCAGAGGGGTTAAAATAGCCTTTGTAAGCGACGAAGTCCTTAACAGTTAAAATAGAGTGGTGGCCAAAATGTGATAAAAGATCAATGACACGTTTATTTGAACCAACATGTTTTAAAATTTCATAAGGAGCAGCACTACAAGCTTGCAATATAACATAATACCCAATATTAAATTCAAAATTTCGCTTATGCAAATCAGCTTGAAGTTGATATAATGCATTACTTGCTTCAAATTGTTTATTGATCTCAATATGCAAGTTATGAAGATGTGATACAACTACTTCAACTGACACACATGGGAATAAGGTCTAAGGTTTTCCTAGGTTCATAACCATGAATAACTTCAAAAAGACTTGTACTTATAGACCGATTTATAAAATTGTTATATGTAATTTGCTCAACATGTTTTAAAATTTCATAAGGAGCAGCACTACAAGCTTGCAATATAACATAATACCCAATATTAAATTCAAAATTTCGCTTATGCAAATCAGCTTGAAGTTGATATAATACATTACTTGCTTCAAATTGTTTATTGATCTCAATATGCAAGTTATGAAGATGTGATACAACTACTTCAACTGACACACATGGGAATAAGGTCTAAAGTTTTCCTAGGTTCATAACCATGAATAACTTCAAAAAGACTTGTACTTATAGACCGATTTATAAAATTGTTATATGTAATTTGCATTGGTGGGATGATCAAATTTCAGTTCCCAAGATTTTCCTTGAAAAGGGCATGATTACACTAATCGTCAGTACCTTTGGGTTGGATAAGAGAGTGACACAACGTTTGATTGAAAGGTATCGGGAACATGGGATACAATACCTAGATTCATAGGAAAAGTCCATATACTATCTAAGGAGGTGTTCTCAGTATCATTGAAGTCATCAAATTCTTCAAATTTAGGTTCACAGATTTGATCTTATAATCGCTCATATCTTATATTCTTTTGTTCTTCAATGACTAAAGCTCTGCTAGGACATTCAGAAGAGATGTGGTTAAAGCCTTTACAGTTGAAGCACTGCAAGTGAGAAGAAGCCCTTGGAATTTTAGAAATTTTACTCTTATTTTCCAACGCATAAGGAACATTAGACGGGAAGGGTCTTATGATAGACTTAAGAGGAGGCAGCGATGACAAGTTTAGCGGACGATGGTGATCGCGGTTTTCATATGAAGTACTAATAAGTAACTCATAGTTTTGTCTAGAGTAGCTAAAAGAGGGAATCGTTACTTGTTGGATGTTGTCAGAGTTTTGTCTTGGAATTTTCGGTTTTGCCCAAATTTTGGGTTGAAACCCTCTCCACAGCTGTACATCTTATTAATCAACTTCGTGCTCAGCATTTGTATTTTGACTCACCTTATTTCCACGTGCACGGCACACATCCTAGCTATGACATGTTGCATACCTTTGGTTGTGTTTGCTTCGTCCATTTGCCTCCTTATAAACGATATCGGCTTGCTGCTCAATCTTACTATGTACCTTCATGGGTTACAGCATTTCTCAGAAGGATTTTGTTTGTTATGATGGGTTGCTATCACTTTCGTATCTCTCGCAATGTGATTTCTTTTGAGAATCGGTATTACTTCCAACATCTGTCATCTTCTTATTTGGCTCCACTCATTAGCTTTGAGGATTGCTCTCGTTGAGTGTCTTAAACCAGGTATGAAATATTAGAGAGGACGGCCTCTTGTTCCATTGTCCCTTGCCGATCTCGATCCTATCCCAGACATTACTACTCTTCGACAATCTACTTGCAGTACTCATCCTCCTTATCTGTATGGCTTCTCTGCAACTTATTTCATTTCATAGTTCCTACTTCTTATTCTCAGATTGTTACTCAACCCTATTGGGAGAAAGCTATGCAAAAAGAATGCTCTTTAGGATAATCATACATGGGATATTGTTTCTTGCCCTCTCAGCATTAAACCTATTGAGTATAAATAGGTATATTTCGTTATGTTTCGCTCCGAAGGATCGCTAGAGCTCTATAAAGCTCGATGGTAGCTCTTCGAAATCGTCAATAATATGGCGTGGATTATGAGGAGAGCTTTGCTCCTATTGCCAAAATGACAAGGTTCAGACTGTTCTGGTTGTAGTCGCCTCCAGAGGATGGTCTTTGGGGCAGATAGATGTCAATAATGCTTTCTTACATGGCGATCTTAAGGAAGAAAATTATATAACACCGCACTAAATCTCTCTATCATTGGTCAACACAATTTGATCATCTAAAATAACATCAATTTTATCTTTGTGTGCTATGATTAGTGGTATTGGAGTAGACATAGTAAAAGATTTAGTGTAGGAATTTCCATGTAGAGGTAGAAAATAATTATCAGAGGGGTTAAAATAGCCTTTGTAAGCGACGAAGTCCTTAACAGTTAAAATAGAGTGGTGGCCAAAATGTGATAAAAGATCAATGACACGTTTATTTGAATCAACATGTTTTAAAATTTCATAAGGAGCAGCACTACAAGCTTGCAATATAACATAATACCCAATATTAAATTCAAAATTTCGCTTATGCAAATCAGCTTGAAGTTGATATAATGCATTACTTGCTTCAAATTGTTTATTGATCTCAATATGCAAGTTATGAAGATGTGATACAACTACTTCAACTGACACACATGGGAATAAGGTCTAAAGTTTTCCTAGGTTCATAACCATGAATAACTTCAAAAAGACTTGTACTTATAGACCGATTTATAAAATTGTTATATGTAATTTGCATTGGTGGGATGATCAAATTTCAGTTCCCAAGATTTTCCTTGAAAAGGGCATGATTACACTAATCGTCAGTACCTTTGGGTTGGATAAGAGAGTGACACAACGTTTGATTGAAAGGTATCGGGAACATGGGATACAATACCTAGATTCATAGGAAAAGTCCATATACTATCTAAGGAGGTGTTCTCAGTATCATTGAAGTCATCAAATTCTTCAAATTTAGGTTCACAGATTTGATCTTATAATCGCTCATATCTTATATTCTTTTGTTC